CCTCCGCCCCTTCTCAGAGCACCCATCCTCCCGCGTGAGCAGCTGCTCTGTCACATGACCCCCACCCGCGGCCTCACCCTGCCGTTCGCAGACGACACCCGCCAGGCCATCCCCACCTGCTCCCCCTGCCCCCACCTCCCTCCCGTGCAGACACCTGCCAGCACCTCCCCACCTGCTGGTCCCACTAGGTGGTCGCCCAGACAGCCTCGTTCCCCCGCAGCCAGAAACGGCCGGGCGCTCACAGCGCCGGGTGAGCCCTTGTCCTCTCGGAGCCCGCCCAGGGCCCTGCCAGCTGGGGCCCAGCCCACCCTGGCCCTGGGGCTTCCATGGCACACCGCATTCCCTGCCGCTGTACCACTCTGCGCACCGGGGTCCCTCCCGCAAAGGCTGCTGGTGTCGCCTTTGCAAACCCGACGCCCCCACCGCCATGTCCAGCCGGCCCCGGGGACAGGACAGCACCTTGCCACGTGCCGTGGCACTTCCCAGCCTGCCTTGGCCAGGCAGCCCGAGCACCTCCCAGGTGCACGTCTCAGGTGACCACGCGGGAGGGGACCTTCGGGTCCTCCTCCCACAGACCCAACCACCTGCCTGCGCATGCCGCCAGCCTCACACAGGGCGGGGCACACAGATGGTGCCAACTAAATGGACGGGAATGACAGAAGGGCTCCGAGATGCCATCGGTTAAGTGCTGCGGCCTGTATGGCCAGAACCGCGCTCTGACGGAGGCACTGCGCCCTGCTTCCCCACGGTAAGGGGCGCCCATGGGTCTCCCTGCTCAGAGAGCACCGCCAGCGCCTGGCGCGGAGGCCGCGGCACGGCCCCAACACGCACACCTAACAGGGCAAAAGCCAGCTGATGTCACGCCCAGATGGCAACTTCAACCCAAAACCGCACAGGGCCCACCTGTGTGCACTCTCCCTCCGCAAAGCACACCACGTGCTTGGGGACAGGGACATGGTGTGACGTCAGGGACACACTGAGCGAGGCTCCTCAGGGCAGGTCCAAGCCTTCCAACCAACGGACACGGCCGACCTGCTGGGCACACTTTCGCCAGCTCTGCCTGCATCTGGCCTGGGTCCCTTCCCGCTCCATGTGACGAGTAAGTGAGCAGCCAACACCGCCCGGCTCCTGTTCGCACAGCGCGGCACTCAGACACGCTCACGGATGAGGGCAGCGTTCCGTGAGTCACCGGCCTCACCGAGAGCCCTCGAGAACTGCGTGACCCACAAAACTGAGCACGCTGCTGGACCCCAAAGCCTGTTTCTCCACAGAAGTTAGGAAACTATTCAGAATGTTCTACAGTTCTGTGACAAATGCCCAGTAAGCTAACCAGCAATCTCCCCGCAATTCATCAGTCACCAACGTCCTTCCTGAGAAAGAAGGCCCCGGCGCTGCTGGGCACTAGTGGGGTCACTGCAGGGAGGCAGGTGCTGGCCCCGCGCCCCCTCCCCAGGGACATCCCCTCAGCAACCAGCCCCTCCCCGGCCGTTCACCCCCATGTCCCACGGGTGTACCCAGAATTGTGAGTGTGGCACAACCCGGGAAAACGAAGCCCAGTCAGAGCAGCGTGGCCCAGGCAGCGCCTGCGTGCGGCGGCGAGCACCCTCCCAAGGCACAGGTGGCTCCATGACTGTCCCCTCCACCCGGCTCCGGGCCCTGCGTCTCGGGACAGCGGGGTGAGAGCAGGAAGCGGCGCCCCGGACACACTTACATCTTTTGCCATGTTACCAGATCCGGGAAACCGATGCTGTGGACGTCCCCCCTCCAGAGAAGAAAATGACTTTCCTGGTAAAAAGGAAGGAAAAGCAAGAAATGAGTAAGAACGAAAAAAGAAGTGTAAAGAATGCCGACCCTTAAAGGAAGCGCGTCCCCCCAGCCGCGGGCGCCCGCAGGTGGCAGGGCCCAGCGCCCGCGGAGGTCGCGCGTCTCAGGACCCCGGCCCGCACCCCGGGCACGGCGGCCCCGCAGGCCCTCGGCCGCCCGCAGGAGGGGACAGGTGGGCTCAGGTGGGCTCCGCGGCCCCGCCCGCCCCGACCTGTCACCAGGCCTCGGGCCGCCCGCGCGCCGGAACCGCGTCCCCGCGGGGGCGGCCTCCCCGGCCCGCTCGGCCGACCCCAGACCGGCCTGCGGCGCGGGCGCCGCCCCGGGTTCCGCGGCCCGGCCGGCCGTGCGAGCCGTCCATGGTGCAGCACATGTGGGCCGAGGCGGCCGGGCCTGCGGGCGGCGCCGAGCCGCTGTTCCCCGACTCCCGGCGGAGCCGCAGCGTGTGGGACGCCGTGCGCCTGGAGGTGGGCGCGCCCGACAGCTGCCCAGTAGTCCTGCACAGCTTCACGCAGCTCGACCCCGACCTGCCGCGCCTGGAGGTGGGTGAGCGCGGTGGCGTCGGAGGGCCCGACGCTCCGCAGAGCTGGGCGGGCCTGGGGTCTTGGGGGGCCCGCTCCACATGGGGGTCCTTCCGCAGAAATCCCCTCCTTGCTCCAGCGCCAAGCCAGCACGGCGGGCACGGGGCTGCCAGCGCGCTTCGAATGGCAGTTTCGGGACCACAGCTCGGTTCTTTGCCCTCTCAATTCCGTCCCAGGGCCTGCAGGGCACCGTTAGGCTCCAGGGTGCGGGTGTGGACAAGTGGTGGAGGGTGGCAGAATCCTAGCATCCTTAGAGGTGATTGGGACCCCAGGGGCCTTCCAGTGCGCCTCCCTTGGGGCAGAATGGGTCTAATGACCAGGGAGACATCAGGGCCGCCCAGGGGAGGGTGGGGGACGGTGGTAGGGAGCAGCGGGCCTCCAGCATGTGGGGCTAGGTGTCCAGGTGGTGAGGAGGCCCGGGCGTGACTTGTTTCTGCTTGATTAGAAAGAGCAGCAGCACCCTGAATCTGTCCGGGCTTGAAAGGATTGAGAGAAGGGGGCTGTGTGCCTGTCTTAGGTGCAGGCAGGGGTGACTAGATGAGGGCTGGGACTCTTGTTTCTCGTGTGCCCTGGGCCGGGGGCCATGGGTGGTGCCGCCTGGCTCCTGCCTGACTGTGCACTTCACTCCATGCAGCGGAGGTAGTGGGACTCAGAGATGGCTCTCACCCTGCTCTGCGTGGGTCGGAGGACTCAGGGCATGTCAGGGCTCTGGCTGGGCCAAAGCCTTAGCGATGAAGGTCCCCAGCCCGCGTGCTGTTTGGGGTCCCCTTCAGCACTTTAGGCCACAGTTTGTTGTGATTGTCAGCCTGGGTCTTGAGCCTCTTCAGGTCCCAGTTCCTAGACAAGGCCTGGCTAAAGCGCATCTCTCTGCCC